GATTAGATCCATGGAAGTCTCTCTTAGTGTCCTCATTGTTGTCTGAGTTCTCTGGGATTGTGGTTTGTTGGCTGGTTTTCTTTGTTTTATGTTTAAAAACCACCTATAAGTGAGTACATGTGATAATGTATTTCTGTGTCTGGGTTACCTCACTCAAAATAAAGTTTTCTAGCTCCATCCATTTTCCTGAAAAATTCAAGATGTTAGTTTTTCTGCTGTGTTGTAGTACTCCATTGTGTAAATGGACCACATTTTCCTTATCCATTCTTCGGTGGAGGGGCATTTAGGTTGTTTCCAGGTTCTGGCTATGACAAACAATGCTGCTGTGAACACAGTTGAACACATGTCCTTGTGGCATGATTGAGCATCTTTTGGATATATACCCAAGTGTAGTATAACTGGGTCTTGAGGAAGGTTCTGGGTAAGTAGTTTAACCTCACAAATGCCTGGGTAAGAGGCCCATGAACACCTGCTATCAGAATATTGGCAGTATTTGCCAGGAGGCGAGTCCCTGCATGCTTTCAGAAGGAAGGAAAGCAAGGAGGGGGCAATTTATGGTAAAGTATCTGACACTTGCTCAGCCTCCTGAGTGAGGCAGAGAAACCTGAGTAACATAGTGCAATGCCTCAAGCTCAGTAGCAGTTACATGAAGCTGATGTTTCATTTGTAGTAAAAAGCTAGCTCTAAAAATGGTGTGCCTGTGATCAGTGATTTGCTATGCCCCTGACCTTTTATAGTTCGAGGCACTGAGGTAGAGTTGGGAGAGATAGCCCAGAGATTTCTGTCAGCTTTTGGTGGGTTTTGCTTGTTGGACTTTAGTCTAATTCCTGTTTAATTGCATATTTTTAGTTTTCCTACTTTTGACTTAGCCTGTCTGCCTTTCTGCTACCCCTGTTTAATTGTTGACCTTTCTGTACCTGCCTATTTGTCTGTCAGCTATCTATCCATTTGTCTACTTGCCTATCTACCTGTTTGTATAACTGTCTTCATGCCTATCCATCTGTTTTTCCATCAGTGTATGTGTCTGTTTGCCTGCCTGCCTACCTATTTGCCCCCTCACTTGCCTACCTATTGAGCCTTTTATATACATATCTGTCTACCATATATGACCAGGTATTTACCTACCTTAAAACTTGTCTATCTACCTGTCTCATCTCTCCACACTCTACTGCCTAGGTTGTTACTATGAACACTCCACCAAATTAATATCATAGGGACTATTTTTCTCACCCTGGAAAGGTAGTGTATTATAATGACCACACAAGTTGGATTCCTATGCTTAGCATTGGATATTTAGGTCTTTGCAATTCTTTGGAGGACGGTGGTTTCCTGTGCATTGCATGCTGTTTAACTGCTTCTGTGACCTACTAGAGTCCTCCTTTATCCCCCCTTCCAAGTTGAGATACTAAAAATGTCTCTAGACATTGTCAGATTGTCATGACCGAGATTGCTGGCACATAGCAAGCAGGTACTAGGTATTACTAAACACGGTATTGTCATCCTGTAGTTTTTAACCTACAGGCAGTTCTTCATACTTCCTTGCACAGTACTATCGTGAGAGACAGTGGAGGTCTGGGATTACTTGGCTGATTCTCATGAGCCTAGGCAGTCATCCTCCTCTGTCTGGGCATCTGACGCAGCCCTAGATGTTTTGTTTCTGTTCTAAATATAGCGAAGTGACAAAACTAGACAGACTTGTGAGGGGTGTTTACTCCCAGACCTTGTTCCTAGGTTGACAGTCCCATCCTTGCATTATTTAAAATCAGCAGTGGAGAGAGGTCACATTGTGAATTGGACTTTGTTTCTGGTAACCCTTGCCTGGGAAAGGCAGACCCAGGGTAACAGTAGCTGGCTCTTTGAGTCGGCACTGTCGCACTCTTGCTGCTGCTGTCCTGTGCCTTCTGAATCTCTCTCAGAATCCATCAACCAGATGATCAGCCTTTCCTATACTTGTGCCTTCAGAACCACAGTCCTGCTTCTCAACACACGCTGGGCTCTGTCATATGTGCCTGTCAGATGTGAATTTGGCCTTCTAGGAGTTTTCAGACCTCTGCTCTTCTTCTCCATCCCTTGGTCCAATAACTGTCATTCTTCTTGTTGTGATCATTATTTCATCCTCTTCTAAGAATGACCTGGGGGGTATAGTTTTGTGGAGGAGGTTCTAGGTGATACCATCCTTTCCCTCCTGCCTTGAGCGAGATCTATCAATGGCCATAAGCCCATCTGAGGATAGTACAAGGGCCTAAGGGTTGACCCACTTAACATTCTTTGGTGGAAAGCCAGGAATTCATGCTTCTACCTCTGACTGCATAGTATTAACAATCTCGCCTAAAAAGGTATATCACTGTCTTTATGTTCTAGGCATTTGATAATGGAATTTTTCCCACTTCTGTGCTTACTTCCCTCCCAGCCTCTTTGTTCTTTTCATTTCCATCCTAGGAACTCTTAATTGCTAGAAAGGGAGACATAATTAGGCTACATTATTGGTGACCCTGCGACTGGTGGTTGTCTTAGTTTCATGTTCCATATTCGTTTGTTTTTGGGAAACCATTGGCTGGGAGAGACAGACTCTGAAGGAGTCTGGGACTTGAGGAAGATTTTTTTCCTAATTTTCTTAGAAATTGCCATACTGATATGCAAAGGGACTGTACCAATTTTCATTCTCACCAGCGATGCAGAAGTGTTCCCATTTCTCCACAACCTCTCCAACATAAGTTGTCATCAGTGTTTTTGATCTTGGCCATTTCTTACAGGTGTAAGATAGAATCGCAGAGTTGTTTTGATTTTGCATTTCTCATGGGTAAGGATGTTGAGCATTTCCTTAAATGTCTTTCAGCCATTTTAGATTCCCTGTTGAGAGTTCTCTGTTTAGGTCTGTACTCCACTTTTTTTATTGTATTATTTGTTCTTTTGATGATCAATTACTTGAATTCTTTGTATTTTATGGAGATCAGTCCTCTGTTTGATATGGGGTTGATGAAGATCTTTTTCCATTCTGTGGCTGCCATTTGGTCTTATTGACTGTGTCCTTTGCTTTACAGGAGCTTTTCAGTTTCAGGAGGTCCCATTTATTAATTGTTTCTCTCAGTCTCTGTACTACTGAGTTTCTATTTAGGAAGTGGTCTCCTGTGCCAATGTGTTCAAGTGTACTTCCTGCCTTCTCTTCTGTGAGGTTCAGTGTGGCTGGCTTTATGTTGAAGTCTTTGATCCATTTGGACTTGAGTTTTGTGCATGGTGATAGATAGGGATCTATTTTCATTCTCCTACATGTTGATCTCCAGTTATGCCAGCACCATTTGTTAAGTATACTTTCTTTTTTCCATTTGATATTTTTTCCTTCTTTGACAAAAAATAGGTATTCATGTGAATTAATATCTGGGTATTCTTTTCGGTTCCATTGGTCTTCCTGTCTGTTTTTATGCCAATATCAGGCTGCTTTTAGTACTGTAGCTCTGAAGTAGAGTTTGAAGTTAGGGATTGTGATACTTCCCAAAGTTCCTTTCTTGTACAGGATTGTTTTGGCTAACCTCGGTTTTGTGCTTTTCCACATGAAATTGAGTACCATTCTTTTGAGGTCTGTGAAGAATTTTGCTGGGCATTGCATTGAATCTGTAGATTACTTTTGGTAAAATTGCCATTTTTACTATATTAATTCTCCCTACCCAAGCGCATGGGAGATCTTTCCACTTTCTGGTGTCTTCTTCAATTTTTTTCTTCAAAGATTTAAAGTTCTTGTCATACAGGTCTTCCACTTGTTTGGTTAGAGTTACTTTGTGATATTTTATGCTATTGTGTTTCTCTGACTTCTTTCTTAACCAATTTTTTATCTGTGTAAAGGACGGCTACTGATTTATTTTTCTGAGTGAATCTTGTATCCTGCTACATTACTAAAAGTGGTTATGAGTTGTAGAATTTCTTTGTTGAACTTTCGGGGTGACTTATTTAAACTATCATATCAGCAAATAGTCAGAGTTTGATTTCTTCTTTGTTCGTTTTGTATTCCCTTGATCTCCTTTTGGTGTCTTATTGATGTAGCTAGGATCTCAAGAACTGCATTGAATATATATGGAGAGAGTGCACAACCTTGTCTTGTTCCTGATTTCAGTTTGATAACTGTGAGTTTCTCTTCATTTAGTTTGATGTTGGCTGTTGACTTGCTGTATATTGCCTTTATTATGTTTAGGTATGTTTCTGGTATCCCTGCTCTCTCCGAGACCTTTATCATGAAGGGATATTGTATTTTCTTAAATGCCTTTTCATCATCTAATGGGATGATTTTTCAGTTTGTTTCTATGGTGGATTACATTGACAGATTTTCATTTGTTGTATCATCCCTGCATTTCTGGGATGAAGCCAACTTGATCATAGTGGATGGTGGTTTTGATGTGTTCTTGGATTCGATTTGCCAGTATTTTATTGATTATTTTTCCATTAATGTTTATGAATGAGATAGATATGTAATTCTCTTTCTTAGAAATGTCTTTCTTTTGTTTGGGTATCAGGGTAATTGTAGCCTCATAAAGAGAGTTTTGCAATGTTCCTTCTGTTTCTATTGTGTGGAACAATTTAAGAAGTATTTGTTCTTCTTTGAAAATCTTGTAGAATTCTGAGCTGAAACCATCTGCTCTTGGGCTTTTTTTTTTTTTTTGGTTGGGAGACTTTTGGTGACTGTTTCTATTTCTTCAGCAGTTATAGGTCTATTTAATTTGTTTATCTGGTTTTGATTTAATTTTGGTAAGTGATATTGATTCAGAACGTTGTCCTTTTCCTTTAAGTTTTCCAATTTTGTGGAGTACAGGGTTTCCAAGTATAATTTCCTCCGTGTCTGTTGTTATGCCCCCTTTTTCATTTCTGATTCTGTTAATTTTGATTTTTTTGTCCCTGCCTTTTGTTTAGTTTGGATAACAGTTTGTCTATTTTGTTGATTTTCTTGAAGAACAAATTCTTGGTCTCATTGATTCTTTGTATTGTTTTCTTTGTTTCTGTTTTGTTGATTTCAGCTCTCAATTTGATTATTTCCTGCAGTGAAGTTCTCTTGGGTGAGTTTGCTTCTTTTTGTTCTAAAGTTTTCTAATGTTCTGTTAATTCACTAGTGTCTGATTTTTCCAGCTTCTTTATGTAGTTGTTTAGTGCTACAAACTTTCTTCTTAACACTGCTTTCATTATGTCCCATAAATTTGGGTATGTTGTGTGATCATTTTCATTGTATTTTAGTAAGTGTTTAATTTCTTCCTTCATTTTTTTTTTGGCCCATTGATGATTCAGGTGAACATTTTTTAATTTACATGTGTTTTGGGGCTTTCTGGAATTAGCTATGCTGTTGAATTCTAATTTTAAACCATGGTGATCTGATAAGATAAATGGGGTTATTCTATTTTTTTTTTTGCATCTGAAGTTTGTTTTGTTACCTAGAATGTGGTCAGTTTTTGAGAAGGTTCCATGAGGTGCTAAGAAGAAGGTATATTCTTTTATGTTTTGATGGAATATTCCATAGATGCCTGTTAAGTCCATTTGAGTCATACATCTGTTAGTTCACTTATTACTCTGTTAATTTTTTGTCTAACAGACCTGTCCATTGGTCTGAGTGGAGTGTTGAAGTCTCCCACTACTAGTGTGTGGTATTTAATGTGTAATTTAAGCTTTAGAAGTGTTTCTTTTACATCTGAGGTACCCTTGTTTTCAGGGCGTAGATGATCAGTATTGAGCTCTCCTCTTGATGCAGTTTTTTGTGACTAATTTGAAATGTCCTTCTTTGTTTCTTGATTGGTTTTAGTTTGAAGTCTATTTTGTTAGATATTAGGATAGGTACACCAGCTTGTTTCTTAGGTTCATTTGATTGGAAAAGTTTTTTCCCATCCCTTTACTCTGAGGTGATGTCTATCTTTGAGGTGGTGTGTTTTTTTGTATGCAGCAGAAGGATAGATTCTGTTTTTACATCCAATCTGTTAGCCTGTGTCTTATTATAGGTGAGTTGAGTCCATCTATATTAAGGACTATTAATGATTAGTGATTGCTATTTTCTGTGTCCTTGAGTTAAAATTATATCTCCATGGAGCTAGACTAGAGTTCATAGGTTTCTTCCTACTTTATAAAGCTGGGGCTATGTGTTTTGATAACGTGTAAGCATGTGAGTGAGTAAACATTTCAATATGGATTGTGCTAAAAATGAATAATTTATTTAGCAGGGAATATGAAATTGAACTTAGTAGTTAGTAATGGAGAATCCAATTAAATAAACTTGCAATGGTTTGTAGGTTCCTTGGAGATTTCTTAGTGTTGGTTTCAGAACAATAACAGGAAATCCCATTTTAAAGTTAGGGAGGATCCAAATATGTTAGCATGGGGTGTTGTCCAATGACATTTGAAACTTATCTGCATGAGTGACAACTTTAAGTTAGTGTTAAGGGGGTGACAATGTGCTAAGTGAGAACTTGTTTGGAATTCTATAGTCCAGCCCTCTTTATACCTACTTAGGCAGATACTCTGGGACAGTGGCCCTACTATGATCCTGGTACTCACTAGGGTCTGGGAACCACTGCTGTATATACTGGGGGAAATCCGGACATGTGATATGTGTGTGTATGTATATGCATGTGTGTGTATGTTATATATATATATATATATTACATATATATTACATACACACATTTGTATTTATTTTGTGAATGCATGTCCATATATGGGTATATATAGGTACTGATGTATGTATATGTAAGCATATAAAGACCCAAAACTGATATCACTTGTCTTTCTCACTCTCTTTCTACCCTGTATAATTAAGAAATGGTCTCTATCTAAACTTCGAGCTCACTGTATCTTGTCTAGTCTGGTTAGCCAGCTTGTTGCAGGGATTCCTTGTCTCTGTTTCTCATGTGCTGAGGTCGTAGGTGGAACACAGTGCCCACTTAACTTTTACATGGGTGTTGGGAATCTGAACTGCGGTCCTTGTGTTTGCATGGCAAACCCTGTACTTACCTGACTATCTTCCCAGCTACTATAACACATTTTCCTTATGCAGTCTTCTCTCAGCAGGCATCCATTCCACATGTTGGCTTCTGTGAGTAATACTATAATAGTTCTATATCTGACAACCTGAGTTGTTTCATCACCAGCACCAAGATGGGGAAACCAGCTCTCTGTTGCCTCTGCCATTGCACACACATACCCACATGCATATTTACACACACACACACACACACACAGAGAGTTTCTGCATGGTAGCACATGCCTTTAATGTGAGCATTGCACTTATTCCAGCTTTGTCCTCTGACTTACTGATTTCAGTTCAGGTCATATGGCAGTTTTGTTCCTAGTATTTTAAAAGGCCTTTATACTGGTTTCCATAGCGTCTAGGCCAATTTGTATTCCCAGCAACAGTAGAAAGGAAGTGAATTTTCAGCTATATATACCAATGAGAAAGAGCAAGCAAATATGTGGATTTACTCTTTCTGGGTAAGAAATGGTAACTAGGAAGACAAAACAAATTCCTGAACTCAAATCTTCAAGTAGAGAATTCAGGGTGTCCTTCTGATTTGCATTTTTCATCAGTATGTGCTGATTTTACATTTTTCACAATTAACTACCAATAATTGTGGGATGAGTGAATCCCAGAGTATAATTGAGGTTCTTCTTAGGAGCAAAAGTATGAACCTGCATTTGTCTTCTGAATAAATTGCATAGCATAGGGCATTGCTGGCCATAGGTTCATGTGGTTCCAGACTGGAGTAGAAATAACCTCTTTGCTTTTCTCTATCCAGTTTAGGGTAAACTGCAACTATTTTTTGAAACACAATATATCCATTTCTTTAATGAGCACCTAAACGGTCAAATCTTCTGGGACTGTTTTGTGTAATCATTCCCTGAAATCTCTATTTTCTATCTTCTCTAGCTATATCAGTCCCCACACTCCTTTTATAATAAAACTGTTTAGTTATAAGAAACTAGATATGAAATAAAACTTGGAGCTTCATTGGGAATTCAGCCTTCCAATGGTATGTTTTGCTTTCATGATTCAGGGATTCCACAAAGGGAAGATTGGAGGCTAAATACCAAACAATTTAGTCACAGGGAAAGACAGTTGTGCTGCATTTAAATGCTTTGCTGCCATTGTAACTGTTCAGAAATGTTTATTAGACTGCTTTCCTCAAGGACAGCAGTGGCACATTCTTAGAGACAGTAGATTGTGTGCCATAGAAAACTCTATTAAATTTCATTTCATTTGAGACCACAGAAAGGTGCAGAGGCCAAGTGAGATCATTGGCCCCTCTTCTTTCTACCTTCTAATGCCTTTGTTGATGTTTGTTTGTCCCAGTGCTGGAGACTGAACCCAGTACCTTAGGCTTTCTAGGTACGCTTTCTGTACTGAGCCACACCTCAAGCCCCTGCCCTTTCTGAGAGACTGGCCTTTGCTTGTTGGCCTTGATAGGGTGTTTCCCGTCCCCATATCCCTGTGCACATATCTACCTTCCATCTTCCTTTCTTCTCCTCTGCCTCTCTCAGTTGCTGTGTCTCTAACTACTGTTGCTGTCCTCTGTGTATCCACTTGTTTCTTTCTGGTTTGGACCTTGTTTGGAGTTAAATTAGGGTTTCCTGATGATGCACCATGGCTTATAGATGGAGGGTATCACTCCTCTAGTTGCTTAGTAGCAGACTGCCATTCTGCCCTTCCTTACTGCCAGCGGGACTTCCACACCAGTGAATACTGTCCTCTTGGGTGCTTCTCTTGCAGGGCATTGCTCCTGTAATGGGTCTGTTTCCACTTGCCTGGGGTTCTTAGAGAGGGCCGTTGTTTCAGTTGAAGCTGACTTTTTGACCAATTCAAGGGCATCATCAAGGGAGCCACCAGGTTATATAATCTCTCCAGATGCAATTTCCTAACATTGAATCTTGAAGTAATCTCTTCTGGTTTAGTGATGATGCCACTCCAATCCCTGGGCTTCACTTTCCTTAAGTATAAAATGTTCACCATTCAATTTGAAACAGACGTTAGCCCCAAACTTTATTTTCAGACAGCTGGAGCTTCTAATCAAAACCCATATTTCGAGCTGGTGAGTTGACTCAGTAAAGTGCTTTTGGAGAAATAGCATGAGCTACAGCCCAAATGAAGCCAGCAGAACAGGACCCAGCACGTACACCACTGTGTCTTCATCTAACTTGGGAGAATAGGACAGAAAGTGAGCAGCTTCTCAAAAGTCAAAACACTGCCTTTTAGAAGAGCTGAATATAAGTTCAGAACCCCAAATCCTTGAAAAAACATTCTACCATTCCATGCAGCCACCCTGGGCCTGTAAAGTAGGTAGTCTCAGGGCCTGTTCTGTGGACAAGGGAGCCAAACCCAAGGAATTAAGTAAGTGACCGGAGGGTTTCAGAACTAATCAAAGTGAAGCTCAGACTCGCATGCAAGGTGAGTCTATGTAGTAACTTGAGTCTAGATCTGAGTGTGTGTGCATGTGTATGTGTTATGACAAGGTCACCCTCATGTATCAACAACTCTCTGTAAAGACAGAAACAGTTTAATACTGGACTTGATCCTGCTCTGTCCAGATGCCACCGCTATCTAAAGCTCTCTCTCCTCTCTCTAATTATTACATGCTTTACTTTTTTAACTGTTTCTTAGAGTCACTGAATTTTAGAAAGGTATTAAAAGCTATTGTTGTTGGAACTGGAGAGGTAGCTCAGCTGTTAAGAATACCACTGACTGCTCTTTAAGAGGACCTCTAGTACAAAGGGATTTGATACCCTCTTCTGACCTCCATGATTACTGAGTGCACATGGCGCACAAACCTACAAGCAGACAATAACACACATAAAATAAAAATAAAACTTAATTTTTAAAAAAGCCCTGCCATCCTTGCGTTTTATCGGGCATTCAGCCATGAACTCACCACCTTCAGTGAAACATGATTTGATCGATGACTATTCTCCACATTATATTTCAAACTACTTTAATGCTTCTTGGGGTGCTCAGTGTACAAACATTACTTCCTGGTAAATTATTGCTGAATGCTTAAATACCTGAGTGGATAAATAGAAAGGCAGG